AATGAAGATAAAAAAAAGTAGCGATTTATGTTTTCTTTAGCATCTCCAGTTTTATGATTGGTCCTTTAAAGCCTTGTATCTTTTGACTGATTAAATGGATGAAGATGGATGAATAACAATTTAAGGTCAACTAAGAGATCTTTTTTGATGCAAATTTCTATTTAAATCCATTCTCCTGATTTGTATTTCCAAGCATCTTGTAAAAGTAGAATTTCAGTTATGAAATTCGTGGTATTCCTGGTCAAAAATATTTGCAAAATTTTGCACAACACTGTTAACACAAATAAAACACTTTTTTGTCCAAAAAACGATCTAATAGTCCAATTATATTTAATCAATATCACTACTTTATTGTCCTTGTACTTTCTTAATGGTTTATTCACTTGTTCTGGATCATAACATCTATATCCTATGATTGTGTATTTTTCACGATTTGTAAAGTTGACCCTTGGTAAGATCTTTATTTTATTTTTAAAATGTTTTTAAGGACATCTGTTCTCAGAATTAGATTTCTGCTGAAAATAAACAAATTAGATAAATTACAAAAAATGTATCAAATATATTATTTGTATATAGAAGAGCAAACAAAGTTCTAAATGCTCATTGATATTTGACTAGTGAAACCATTCATAAAAGCCTATGTACATTCAAAATACTTTTATTCATAGAAATGCCCATACGTTTGGTTCATAATTTGCAATAATTTCCAGAAATAATTGCCATTGAATAAATTGCCATGTCAAAATATTTGAAATTTATATGAAGAAATTGCATGTACTTTACAATTATTCAGATTCTTGCAACTTATAATTTGATAAAATTATTAGCAGGTCGAAACGACAATTTGCACATAGGTCCTATCATAATATTTAAAATATACAACAAGGAATAAGTTGCTTTTTACATATATTCAATCTTGTATAACAAATTTGATAAAAGTATAAAGTAAAAGGCCAATTTTTTTCAATAAAACTAGTGGGGTGCATGGCATTGTGCCTTAAGGCAAATTTCTGGAACTTTCCGTACCGTAACAAAATTTTCGAGAAATATCAAATATTTTCAAAAAGATAATTATAAATACTGTGACATTGTCTAATACTCGGTATTTAAGAATTTCGTATTTAAGAATTATAAACAAAATTGCAAAGTTAAAATTATTTGTTTAAAGTATATTAGAACTTTAGTCAGAATTAAAATTAAAATCTGAATTATTTTCAATATAGGTACAAAAAAATTTTTTTTTGAAAAAAAAATTTTTTTTCAAAAGCGATTATTTTGTTGAAACTAGCAGAATCATTCAAATCGGGCGCTTAGTTCTCTCAAAAACTGCCATTTTTTGTACTCTTAGCTTTGTATCTTCGAAATGGCTAAACCTGCCGTTGCCAAAAACTAATCACCTAATCACTTCTCCAAATCATTAAAAATTCAATGTTTTTCAAATCATTCAAATCGAATACTCCGTTCTCTCAAAAACTCGATTTGTATTTTCTGCACTCTTTGCTCCGTATCTCCGTAATGGCTGGACCTGCCTTTGCCAAAAACTAATCAGCACATCTCCCTATCAATAGAAATCGAATGTTTTTTTAACCTTTCTAATCGGTTGATCCGTGAACGAAAAGATGCGGACATACAAAACACACACACACACATCCATTTTTCTGAGGTATGCCAAAATGTTCAGAAACTTCAAAACGTCGAGAAATGCAAAAAAAATTCATTTTGGATTTTCGGCCCATTACTAAAACTACCTTACGGGAAGTTAATAAGAACTACACACTTGCAACAAATTTCCAAGTCTTTGAAATAAATGGCGTTTGGTACATGTGCATACTTACTTTTAAATTAAATATTACACCCAACATTATTTTTATATAAATCCGTCTGCTTTGAAATCAAATGCACTACTGACATGCACATCAAGAATGAAACTAAGCATTACGCAACCGAAAAATTTCAATGTTGCCAAATTTGAATAAAATGCAGTATTGTCAAACCTCCAATATCATGTTGCACACGTTATGAATGAGAAAACTATTACGTCGGTCTGTCCTTTATTGTTTGCGCCAAGTTTATTTGAAATACGACTTTCGTTTTATAAATTTGTATCATCGTACTAAAGAAAATTAGAAATCTCGAGAGAGACATATTACGAACAATAAACTTCACAAATTGCTCGAGTTGAAGATATATTTGCATACCATTTTTCGTCATTTGCATAATATCCCAGCAAGACAGATGTTTAAAATGAAGCTGTAGATAAATTGTGTGCAATTAGTCTTCTTCGTTATTAAATTATTGTAATTGATGATATAGTATATTTTATAAAAATTAATTGCATTGGGCATCAATAAAATTTAGTACGTGCGCATTGTTTAAGTAAAGGATGAAATATTATTAATTATTTATTATGCTTGTTGAGAAGATTACTGAATGATGACACACATCAAGTGTCGAAACGTTTAATGGAAAAAATAATTTTTCCATTTAATCTTTTTTTAATTCGACGATTGGGCTGCAAAAATATTTCAAATATGTATCAACGTCGATAATACTATTATATATAAATTATATATATATATAAATTAATAAACTATTAATAATAATATTAATAAACTATTATATATATATAAATATATATATATATATATATATATGCATTTTCTCAGTATCAACGTCGACAATACTATTATCATATAGTATTGTGTATATATATATATATATATATATATATATATGCATTTGTTCAGAAAGCGTCTAATAATTTTAAGAAAAATTATTATGTACACGAATATATTAATTTAGAGCGATTTATTTTCAATATCGTATTTATACAGTTCGAATATGTACATAGCTTATCTAAAGTATTATATAACTAATATTAATTTAAAGATATATTACACTATTAGATTGAAGAAATATAACAAAACAGTTTTATAGTTGAAGTTTTTATATAAAAATGGAATATTTTTAAAATAAGATATCTAATTGTAACATTTTAAATATGTAATTTACTACTGATACAAATTTACAATTAATTCGGAAACAGTCATACAAGTTCGATTCAAATACGTACGTCATTCTTAGAACAAAGGTCTAGGATTTTATGTTACTATCTAATTATTTTTAGTAGAAAATAACAACCTATTATATATCAAATATCACTATTTAAGATTTTTGCTGTTTAGATTTCATAGTATTAAGAACTATTTTACATATATTTTTTAACAATTAGAACATAATGAGTCCTATAAGCTTGATAAATGACGGCAACCCTAACGATTGTCCCACCCCTATATGTGAAGAGTTTATTATTACTATTATTAGTAAATTCCTTATTGATGTAGTAACGCCGAGGAGAGTTACTTTTATCTGTAAATATATTGCTGTTACAACCGATGTCAGTACTGTTTGTTATAAAGCTAATCGAAAAAATATCAAACCTAAAGATATTAAAGTAGAATAATGGGATTTTGAAAAAATCAAATCATTTTTTATAAATCTTATCCCAAGCATCAAAATCAACCAGCAAAATATTAATTAGGGAAATCTGGATTAAAATTTTAATCCTCGCACATAAAATAAATATCAGAGATATAATAATTCAACTTATAGAAGATACGAATAATTCATTTAGTGATAACCAGTTGCATATTGACGAGTATATTTAGCCTATTTACTATTTAAATAATAATATTGGGAAATATAAAATATATTCTCAATTATTATTTATTATAAGTTGTTTAGAATATTTTGAAGCTATGAATGTAGAAAATAAGTAGTTGTAGGTGGTATTATACCTTAAGGCAAGTTGCCTCAAATTAACTTTTCAGAAGACTTTAGTTATTTAACACTAAAGCTATAGCGCGCGCTCAAATTGGCCTACAGTTACAAACTTATCTAGCTAATCATTCAATTTAGATAATGATCGATATATTGTTCAATGTATATAAAATGAAGAAATTTTATGGAGTTTCCTCTAAATTCATTTTTATATAATTTCTAAAAGAAATTGTAAAAAAAAACTAGTAAAATAAATATTCATACAGAATTCCATATGCACACATAAAATCTTATATTCAGCTTTCTCATATTATTGACCAATTATTTTAGTCTAAAATCTACATTTGACGCAAATATATTTGTTGTTTCATAACTTTCACAAAATTAAATTTGACAAGTTATTAGTCCACACAAAGCCATATTTATGGACAGTTTTGATAAATACTTGATTTTCTCGAGATTTTGAATATGCTAAAAAATTAACTAAAACAAAAATTTGTGCCTAAAAATGCTTTTACACGTCGTCTTTCTAAACACAATTTACGCATATATCCTACTAGAATTAAAATGTTGAAATATACCTAAATTTACTGCTTACAAATTTTCGTCTTCATGTTACATTTTTTTACCATCTGGTACGCCACATTTTCACCAAACAATGTACAAATACAAAATCTAATAGTTTTCCGTACAATTTTGCTGATTTATTCTATTTTTAATTGATAATGTTCGAAACTTAATTTAACGAAAAAAAATTTAAGCCTATTTTTATGGAACTTTTTGGGCGATATATATCATGGTCTTATAGAACTTACTGAAATACTACGGCTTTACGACAAGTAGTTTAATTTTATAAAATTCATCAAAGTTTGAGAAAATGAGTAGTTTTTTTAACGTTTGTTAAATTTAAAATTAGTCAATCTACTTGGTATAACGATAGAGTACTTGGTCTTAATGAACATACTAAATTATTAAAATCCTACAGAAACTGGTTCATTCATATAAATTATTTTAAAAATTTGTTTTTACAAAATACTCCGTGTTAACGTGATCGTTCGTTTCCAATGATGTGTAATAAATCTACTCGGAATACTTTTAATCACCCATAAATTAATTTATATTTTATTTATTAAGTAGATTAGTTACACATATCGAAAAGTTCATGTAACTTGCCTCAAGGCAAAATACCAAAACTAACTAGTTATATTTTTATAATTGACCTCATACGCCATCCAGAACTTAATTCTAAATTTGTCTGGTTCATTTGGTATATTTTGTAAAAAATCTGCACCTACATTTCGACGAAAACAACTTCCCACACAATTTATTTTCCACCGGTCAAATTGACCGACTGCGGTAGTATCACACATAAATCAAAATGTGAAGAAAATATTTTTAGTACATACTAAAAATTGTTATATAATTAAGGTGTTATTATTATATAATTATAGATGATGATATTTTCATGTTTAAAAATGTTTATGTTATACTCAAAGTTTGAAACGGTCATTTTGACTGGCGTCGGTAGGTTTAGTGTTAAATAACATTTTCTACTGTTGATTTTCAGAACAGTGTTTGCTTTACATTAAACTATTTTTACTTTCTTACATTTACATGTTAATACTTCATCGAACTTAGTTAAATACATATACAATGTATTGTTATGTTAACAAATAAGTGAAATTTAGTAATAAAATTTTTCAATTTTGTTAAGGGAGGAGCCTGCTTTAGACGCTTCAAAAATCGCTTTTTTTGAGGAATTTTTAGGGAAGGAAATAAATATTCAGTTGAAGCAAAACTTTCAGGTTTTGTTGTTATATATTTTAACATTCTTCTCAATTTTTTTCATTGGAATATATGACATAATATGTCATGTATAAGCATCGCCAATTAGGAAGAATCGAAAAAATTCAAAAACGAGAAATCGCACGTCTAAGTTTTCGTTCCACTTGTAAACATGCTTGACGCTTGCTCACTATTTCTTATGTAATTCCAAAAATAATTTGAATTTCTTTCTGAAATTTTAGGGACATATTCTTGGCTAGTTTTGGAAGACATTTTTGGAATAAAAAAACGATATATTTTAAGCTTCTAAAGCAGGCTCCCCCTTTAAACAAACTTATATTTTTCACCCGATTTCTTTCTTCCCCAACTTACTCTCTGATTGACGAATATACTCGTTATGAGTTCAATTCGGACAACACAAACGGTTAACTGGATAATAGATTTAGAGTAGTTATAGATATCACCTATAACTTTAAATATTACTTTCAAGTTGAATATCACACCTTGTTCATGTCTGCCTCTTCCTCGTAAACAAATATTCCGAAAACTGCTGACCTTCAACTCCTCCTCCATTGCTGGCTGCCACACAATAACCATTATTCAACAACCTGGTTATGGCTTCGACCGAATCAATGTTGCAATAACCGTTCAAAGGAAACCTAATCACGTGTTTCGAATCCGAGTGGGTCCATCTAGCGTCGACGGTGGCCTGGTTCGTTTCCGGGAAAACATCTTCTAGAACTGCCCTGTTTCCGCTGAACATGACTCGTTCGCCAAGATCAGGGCTGATGTGCAGCGCAACACATTCGTACGTGGGAGCAGGGGCTGGTGCTAGGAGTTCTTCGGTGGAGGGCGATCTTTTGATTGGTAAGGATTGCGAGTTGGTAATTGAAGACCTGGTGGTCGATTGAGATGGGTTGCGGTCTCGGATGAGGCGTTCTAGTTGACGCACCATGGCTAGAATTATTAAAGACACTTTTATTGTTTGCATTTATTGGTCTTGGCTATAGCTTTTAACGATTTACAACATTTTTCTTTCTTCACTAAGTTTTAATATCACATTCTATTCAATGATGATACTGTTTTCAAGTTGTAAACACCTAAGACTCAACCCTAGTCTAATAAAATTATATATTAGAGCAATTATAATCTTTTTTATTGAACTGAATAATCTCTTCTCTTGTAATGCATCCTGTCCTTACATAGTTCCTCAATAATTAATTCGTCTTTCTAAGAAATTCAGATTTCTTATACTCGACTCAACTAAATCACAATAAGTCACTTCTAGTCCGGTCATTTAAGCTTAAATTAGGTAAGAATCTCGGAATTCGAGATACCCAGCTGTAAGTCTGTAGATACTTCTATATTGACACCCTAAAGTTGTCTCAAAGGCTATGTAGGGTGTCAATACCATATGTAGGTCTTAAGCCTACATATGGTAGGGTGTAATACTATATGTAGGTTTTGAGACAACTTTAGAGTGTCAATATACAAGTATTTAGAGACTTACAGTTGGGTATCTCGAATTGCGAGGTGAACTTACTATAATGACTTGACTATACATGAATAGATGATGAATGTGATGGGCAGTCATTTGCACCCAAAAATAAACCAATCAGATATTATATAAAATTATTAAAACTTTTCAAATTAGAAATATCTCAACACTCATCTAAGTGATGGCAGTATTAACTCCACAGTCCAAAAAGTCATAAAAATTTATAGTTCTTCAAAAATTAATTCTTTCATTATAGCTCTCTAATCCAGATATCATCTTTTAATAGTCTGATATAGGTAATAATTACATGTGGTCCTTCAAAGTGTCTAGATGAATCAAGAGCTCTTCACCTAGTTTACTGTATCGAGTGTATCAACTTTTTTTATACATAGATTCAGGATGTGATCCAAATGCTAAAACTCATATATAAGTTCAAAAAAGTGTCAATTCATCCTTCTGTTCAATGGCATGCCTAACTGACATTTGTCATGTAACACATTGCATAAAAACGAAAAAAGAATATAAATAGACTTCTATACGTTTCAAGTCTCTATTTGACTCTTTTTTAGTTGATAAAATTACATTTAGTATCCTGTCCACCTTCCATCTGAATGCCTTTCTACCTATTCACCTGTCTGCACTTCTATATTTCTACTTTTTTTCCTGTTTACCTATTCACCAATAATTCAATTTGTATAGAAATCAAAAATAATTTCGTGTAAAGATCATATGTGACCAACAAATATAAATTTTCAAAAAAAATATTTCTATATCACTAAAACCACTCAACCTATCCGTAAAAATGTAAAATATTAATAATTTTGTCTAAAAACAAGTGTAATAATTTTTGAATCATTCTAATCGGATACTCTGTTTACTCAAAAACGGTCTTGTTTTTAATTTTTGACCCGTACCTCCGAATCGACTGGCCCTGTCTTTGCCAAAATTTATTTAGCTATGTTCACAGCGTCACGTTAATAGGAATTGAATCATTTTCGAATAATTCAATTCGCTGCTTCCAAAAACGTCGACGAACGTATCTTATGTATCATATGCCAAAAAAAAACAAAGGCTGTGAAAGTTAAGGATATGAAAAATTCATTTACGATTTTTTGCGATTACTATAACTTACCGTACGGTAAGTTAATAACAAATAAGTTTAAACCGCGAATATAAGATGTCAATAAAAAAAAATCTTATTAAATATCTACGCAGCGTGAAGTCATATAAGTGAGGGTCATTGCATTTAAACATTCGCAGATAAATATCATTATTATCGCAATAGTTGAATAGAGTTAATAACTATTTATAAAACATTTCCAACTTACGAACAATATCAAAATATTTAGCTTCCTCCAGCAGCAAATCAATGTCAGAGAAGCTCTCAGAAACCAGAAGTCTCGAGTTTCTCAGGAAGTTTAAGATGTGTCGGAACATTCCACCGTCTCGGTCTATGAAATAGTGCTGCTTCAACGAGTCTAGCACTATGGGGATGCTGCCATTGAAAAGTTTTGCCAGTCTTGATTCAGGATACCTTAATAAAAGCATTAAAACTTTGAAAATTTCGTTCAACTCAACTTGGCAAAAAAATAGAATTGGAAGATAGAATCTTTTGTCTTTTCAGCAACGTTTCCCATATTGGGAATAAACAATCTAAATTAAGATTCTCTCAGTATAGTATTAATTGCAAGGAAGAAAAGTTAGAATTCCATTACGTATAACTAGTCTAATGAGAATAAATTATTATTTATTATTATTTACTTAGTTAATGTCTCCAACGATGATGTGTAAATAGTTCCACCAACATCAATATGAACAGGAGCAGTATATCTAGAAGCTGCTGCAACGCAGGGTATTCCGCTCGGAGGTGGTTTTGCATGTTGCTGCTGACCTGAAAGAACTGCTGCATTTCCTGATACTACCAGAATTGAATTTGAAGCGTAGTTTACTGAAGAAGCCAATGTCTGTGGTGTCGGCGACGACGAGTTGGACATGGTCGGTGAAATTGCCGGAGAACTACTAGGCGACAATAACCTGAAAAATTATTAAAACAAAATTAATGACTGGAGTGTGAATTTGATACTTCTTATAATTCATATTTTGTGAATTATAATGTAGTTTTTGGTATTCTTCATTCAAATGGTTCAATCCACCAAGACCTGAAAATACCGTACGTTGACCAAGTTATAAGACTAAGTTCTAAGTCAAAAGTCGCTTTTTTGATGTGATGATTCAAATTAAGTATTGTGTCGACTTTTTCTCAAAAACCTAATATATATATATAAATAACTTTAAAAAAATCGTTAGAAATGTCTTTTAGCCAAAAAGTATGTGAGCACAGTCGGTCTACAAAATTTTTAGTTGTGCAAAAATGTTTCTACTATTTTAAATGCTAAAATAATATCAAGGTCTACGTACATGATATATGTATTCGTGACAATAGTTTCTTATAGCAAGTGCTTAATATTTCACAAAATAAACAAGTTTCTTTAGAAAAATGTTTCGACGTTTTTCATAAAATGTAATATGGCAATAAAGTTCATTCGCTAAACAGTCCTACGAAAATTGATTGAATCATATAAATGAATTAAAATGGGTGTTAGTGCACTATAATTAATAAAATTATTGATATCACAAAAGTGTTTGAGAGATATCAATTGGAAGTTGCAATGTTCGGTTTTTAGGGAAAACTTTATCTAAATAGCTAAATGTCAATTTTGCTTGATTAAGTTAATTATTACTACGAATCTAATTAAAGTAAATACGACGGTTACATACGAGTAAATCGTATGTAATGAACTGATATGAATCGATATCAAGATAAATAGTGATGACAATTCTGAAAGAAAAATAAAGAAATTGAAGATGAAAGAGATTGAAGAGATATTTAAAGATATTTTAATATAAGGCTTATAAATATGAAATGAAATATATAGATATAAATGATATGTATTTGTTAGGGTGGTCCTTAACATGGACATTATCGAATTTCTTTGCTCCCAAGGGCTCCAATCCAATGTTGAAAGCATAAATTATTAAAAAATAAATCTCTAATAGGTTCAGCTCTTAATATTAACATTTAGATAGAGCTCACTCCAATTAAAAGTTCCTTATATTTGTTATTAACAAATGTCATTAAGTAAATTTTTGCGCCATCTATGATAGTACTCGTAAACTCAAATATTATGGCACTTAAAAATATTTATAAAACACTTAACCTCTAATTAAATCCATGTGGAATGTTTAACAAGATATTTATTCATCATGGCATAAAAATTAATTTTGCAGCGAAGTATATAAATGGTAATGTTGACACTCAAATTATCAGTAATAAATCGCTATCAAAATTACAAGTCTGCTATCACAGATTGCGCAAGAATTTACCTAATGATATATGTTAAAAAAATATAAAAAACTTACTTGAATTGCAGACTATCTGAATGTTAATATTAAGAGCTAAAACTTTTAGTGATTTTTTTTTATTATTTTGGAAGCATTTCAGCCCTTGGGAGCAAAGAAATTCGAAAATGTTCATATTAAGGATATATATGAAAATTGTTTCATAATCTCTTATACGAGACACCTCTGCCTGACTGAAACATGTCAATAAACAGAAAAGAATGGGAAGTTCGTGCAACGTTAGTTCAATTATTATCTACATTTTCTTGAATTCCAAAATTTATTTAATTTTAATCAATTAATATATGTTTGTTATTACCTCATCTTGTTGGAGGGCTGATATTGGGCGTCCTCCGCAGACGCCCTGTGGTTGAGAGTCAGATCTCGAGGCTCCAGGGCTCCTTTAGTTTCACGCTCGGCACTGTTACGAGATATACATTTCCGTCTGCAAATAGACAGACAAACAAACGGTCATAACATTTATATTATTATCATTATTATTATAGTAACATTGTACTATTCGCTATAAACAAACAGGCATTTCACTCATTGTGAAACAAACTACGATTCATTCGTATCTGGATAATAATAACCTCGGGATAAGTTGACATATAAAAAAGGATGATGAAACTTGGATCGTTGAAACATTTCTAGCACAATTTTGTATCGTGACTCATGACGAGTATATTCGTCAAGTACAGAGTAAGAAGATTTCAAATGAAAAATATGAGTTTATTTCACAAAACTGATAAATTTCACTTCTTTGTTAACATGTGTTAGATGCCTATTATATAAATTACTCTAACTTTATATTTTATATTAATCCCTATGAACTGTACATTTTTTCCATTATAGTGGTGAGTTGATGGTGTTATACAGTATATTCTTGTTAGTACTCTATACAATTATTTTTAACACTTTTGAAGTAAAACTTCCTTAGGCGCGACTAGGGTGTAAATCTGTACAAATGTAACGAAAGTGCGTTACGGCAGATAAGATAAGAGTCAAGTGCCAATGATGATATCATTTCTATACGGGTCAATTGTGATTCGTCGTCGCGTATGTGAATAGAGATCTGTCGTTGTATGCGTACCGACGTCAACGTTGTATGCGTACCGATATCAACAAGGAAATCGGCTTAGATAAATAAACATTTTAAAGTTACATCGTAGTACAAATCTCGATTTAATGAAAAATGGCTGAATCAAAAGAATATTTCACTCTATACCTTAAAATTTCACCCTGTTTCTTAGAAGTTATTTCTATATTATTCATAGTTTCTATAAATCTTTGAAGTTATTGAAATGGAAAATATTTTTTAGGCAAAACAGATATTACAGCTGTTCAAAGAATAAGATTATATCGCCAGCAAAAAAGTAAGAAATATACCATCATTCAATGAATGTATGTTAATTTTAATTACATGAAGTTCTTCAAACACAATTATTACATGATGTGTAAAGTTGCAAAAGCAATATTTGTTTAGGCGTTGTTTAACATAATCCACTATGTGAACGAATATTATAGAATTTATTATTCAGCAATTACTTCATTGCTCTAATGAAGGTTCATTTCTAAATGCTAATTACAATGACAAACCGATTATGTCATATTTGAAATATGACTTTAATTACATTATTGTTTTTAAATATTATACATATCTTTGATGCTATTATAAATAATTTATAATTTATGATTATATAAATGTGTATAATGGTTGTCACTAATAAATGTGTGCATCTCGAGTGTTACCATATTCCTAATAAACATTTTTCAAAATTGTTATATGATGTATTTATTTTTATTTAAATGCCATCTTGTACAGTAGCAAATAAGTTTTACTTCAATCGCGTGTGAACCTCACGCGCACTCCTTTTTTTACCTTCATATTCGATTTTAACCCTACAAGTTTTATAACAAATTATCAAAGCATTAAAATTAAAATTTTCAATGCCATATTATGATGCAAAATAGAACATAAATGTATATCATTTTTTATAATTATAATATTTAATTTTTTTTTGAAATATCATAATTTATATCATACAACATAAATTAGATCGTTATATTTTCCTATTAAATCTCGCTTAATTTAAATTCCTTTTTAAAGTGCAAAATAACACGGTTGGCCAATGTTTGCGCTCAGTAATTGCAAATGAATTATTTAGTAAGCTAGCCTAGCAGCAAAATGATGAAAATGTTTTAGTTCGCTATTCATGTTAAAAATAATATTTACAGAAAAACATAAATAATTAAAATTTCTATGTATTATTCATAATTCTGAAATAAAATTTATAAACTTATGATTAATTTTACTATTTTTCTAAATTGTGTGATAAATAGATATATGAAATAAGAACTGTCTCTAATATTTTGTTATTATAAATTAAGAAACCAGGTTTAAGTGACATTTTACCCTAGGGCAAGTTCCATGAACTTCCCAAAATATGTAAATAATGATCAATTTAATTATTAATATTGAATATGTAAAAGATCTACTATATATGATCTCATATAATCTTGCATATCTGCCTAAGTGCCTTATTGTCAATTTGTTCGAGTGTCATCTTGTCTGTCTGCCTATTTGACCACTTGTTCACCAACCTACTTTTCTACTTTTCTGACTGTAACACTTTTTCCTGTCTATCTTTCTACGTGTCAAACTAGCTGCCTATATGTCTCTTTCTATTTGCCTACCTTTCTAATTGTCTACCTATCTACCTGTCGAGCAGTCGACTTGTATACCTGTCTACCTGCCTAGCAGTCCACTTGTCTACCTGTCCACCTGTCGCATGTGTATCGATATTTATATATGTATATGAATTATTAAACATGATTTGTAATGATGATTTCAGCAACCAAAATGCCGCTAACCTTATAAAACGTAAAGATATGTAAAAAATTTTATTTTCGAGTGCTATAACTCACCCCGTTAGTAACTAATATTGTGAAAACTTGATTATGATAAAAGATAGAAAATATAATGTATATTTTGACTGTATGATTAATAACCAAAGTCTATTTGAATTTTTAATAAGTTAGTATAGTTTGACCAATAAATTGAATGCAATTTGTATTCAATTTTTTTCTAATTTTGGAAAGATTTTTTTATTACCGCATCTTAAGCAAAGTAATAGATGTTAATGTGACTGTGTAAATATTTATACGTATGAAATTTTTTTATATATTTTATATGCTTCTTACAATTTTTGATTACTATTAAAAATCCAATTTTCAATTAGCGCGATTCAGTTTCTATAGAAATCCTATGTAAATGTGTGCGAATGTGCACAAAACGTTTATTTATTTTGTTAAATATCATCGGGTCGGTAAATTGGGATTTATGTAGTACCGGAGTGCGCTAAATAAATCGACATATGTACCCAAGTAAAGTTAATACCGTACGGAAAGGCCTTCGGGGCTGATATCGCTATTATATGCAAAAGCACAAGTTTTCTATTCGGCCGATATATGACTGACTGTGTATCCAGCCAGCCAACCAGCTCCGGGGCAGTCGAGAAGATAAATCATACAAATTCACATACATAATATATATACATAGATATATATATATATTATATATATATTATATATATATGTGTGTGTAATATCATTTGTATTAAAATTTAATTTTTCAATTGATTACTAAACAATTATATTATATCGAGACTGGGTACTGTACAGCCATAACTGGCTATACTATACTTATTTTTAGATAGGGTCCTAAGGGAAAAAGATGAAGTATGTTTGTTCGAACAAGTTTCCCATTATTGCATTCAGGTCAGCGCCCTACATTAACCGATTCGCTTTAAATGAGATCAAGTATGTTTTTCTGTTAGATTTATTTTAATAATAACTGTTACTTGTATACGGATATATCACTTGGTTTAATTTTGCTGTAGGTTGAACATTATTATTTAATTACGAGCTATTAGTTTTGTTTTATGTGGCATGTATATGCTGTTCTTTTTGGATAAAATTTAAACAGATAAATAAAAATCTAACTTAACTAAGACAAAATACAAAATAGAAACGTAAAGGAAAATTCGATTCAAGAAAACAAGATTTCACAAAGATTTCTTGTTTAAAAAATTGTTTTGATATATATTGTTATATTATATTCATAAGTTTGTGTCTTTTCTTTTATGATTTTGATTGCTCAGCTAACTGGTGAATTGACCAAATTATTGCTGATCAAAAAAAAGTGGCACAACCGTACCCAGTCTCTCCCTATATATTAATTTTTTTGCTATAGACCACCTGTAGCCCAATATAATTGTACGTGGGATATGAATCTTACTATAAAAATTTAATGTCGGTATTTAATATAATTTAGTTATTATAAAAATATTATAAACCTAATATTGAATATTAAATTAATGATTGTGTTAGCCAACATTTTATGTGCTAAGTATAACGAACTTTGCAATTCAGACGAGGCATTGTTGCCTCAGGCTATGTAGAAAAGGTACTATAATGAAAAACTAACTTCAAATTTGCATAATGGAATGTAAGTAGCTTTTATTTATTTTATAACCATTGAATACTCGAGGAGAAACTAATTAGTTCTCATATTGATCAACTACTACTACCATAGATTATATTTATTGAATGTTAGTTGAATTGTTTTAAAGAAGTGTCACTAAAAACTATACCTACTTTCTTACATTTACAAATATTTCATTGAATACCCTTCTTTTTTGTATGTAATATGTGCTTACGACAAACAAAATGTAGTAATTTTTCAGTTTTGTCGAATAAATTCATTTTTGACATATATACTTAGCAGTGCAACTTAGTCTGTGATTGACGAATATACTCGTCATCAGCTCAATTCGGACGCACAAATGCGCACTATTCGATGTAATTTAAAACGAGAAGGTTCGAAACTCTTTTTATAAAAAAAATATTAGTAAAATTTTTGTTTAAAACTTTCCAAATAAATGTCACAATAAAAATCAAATTGACAGTTGATATGCAGGCACTTACTTGAAACTCGGAATGCGTTACCATGAGTTGTAATGTTAATTTATTATATATGAATTGTCTTTAACATTTGTTTAATAAATCAATATTCCATGACAGAAAAGGATAATTGGTGGTGTTGTCTAACCGGAAATTATCATTTTGAACGATCTCAAGTCCAAACAAATTCTGGCCCGGGGCTGCCGCTCTCAGATGATATTCTGTTGAAAAACATGAAACGAATTCCAACCCGAAGCTGAAACGTTTACACGCAAGGGTACGAACGCACTTTTGACGGCTCATGCTGTTGTTTTTGTTT